AGCCTTGTCATTTGTATTAGCCTTAACATGAAGTAACATTAAGTAACCCAAAATGTTAAACAGTAAGAGTAGTAGTCATATTTTGTGAACCCTTTGAATAGTACTGTCACCAGTGTGATCATTCTATAATACACCATTTAATCCCGGGGGAGAAATGCTAACGCTAACGTTAGCATCGGCGATCTTCTCTACTTCATGCTGTCTGCACAAATGGTTGACATTAAACATTAAAACGACCAGGCAGTTCAGAGAGAATCAAAGGAAGGCAGGCAGGCAGCTTTGCATGACATTCTTCAGGACGTGTTTCATTGTGGTGATAGTGAGGGTAGTCAATCGTTGTGTTGACATCATAGACTGTATATATAAATGGACGTAGGGTCCGTGACGTCACCCATAGGATTCTGCAGAGTTGCCGAGAAGCCCTTAGTAGGCGGAGTCGGCCACTAACGGCTCGACAGTGGCGTCAGAGTTCCACTCCCGCCTGCTCCAAATAAGGGCAAAGAGGCGGAGCCGAGGCGGGACCTGCTGCCTCCGAGCTGGAAGTTCCAGAGCTAGCTGAAGCTACCAAGCTAAGCTAACATGCTCACCATCTGCACACTGCCGTCGCATTTTACGTTTCTAAGGTAAGCGGACATGAGACTATTCAGGAAAACTATAAATAATAATCTAAGTTGAGTTTTTAGCATAATACTTCCCTTAACGTTTGTATGCAATGTGCTAAATTAAACACTGGAATCAAGCAAATATTAATATGTTTGCATGACATTAGTTATTTATATTTTGCCATCACTTAATTATACGTTTAATACATTTAAGTTAAGCTAAGGTACATGTGATGATAGCTAGTTAGTGCTCTTACCTGTGAGGCCTCCTCCAAACAGCATTATAACCAGACTGTATCATTAAAACTACAAGTACCAGTTCTAGATCCTTGACTTTAGACAAACAATTCAAAAGACAAAATGTATTTAAAGACCAATCTTTATTTGAAGGTGCCTGAGATATTAGTTATACAGTAATAGTATTGACAATCTAAAAAAACTGAGCAACTCAAGTCAACTTTATATTTCTTATTGTCTAAAGCAGGGCTTCTCAAACTCCGGACCAAGGTCCGGATCCGGACCGAACTGCAAATCAATCCGGACCGAACCCTGTGTCCCATTATAAAAAAAAAAAAAAAAAAATTATTAAAAAAAAAAAAAAAAAATCTGACTCTGATAAATACATAATTGTGTACGCGCGTCTTGTGTCTGACGCGTGTCTGATTGTGAGAATGAACGTGCATATATATTTACTTGTGTGCGCGAGCGTGACACGCATTGCAGACCGCAAGTTAACCGCAAGTTTACCTTGACTTTCTAATGCTTCTAATGCCTTTTTTGCCGAGGTTCAAGGCGTTGACTACAGACAAACAGTGCCAGTTCTCCCACTAGTTCAAGCCACCATACTGTATGTATGTATTGAATGTGTGTGTGTATATTACAGGGGCGCCGTTTGCCGACAGGCAAGGCAGGCAAGTGCTTGGACCAGAAGGGGGGCCCCAAAGAAAGTAGATTAAGAAGGTCCACAGCAACGACAACATGAAACACCCTTTAATTTACTGCAACGACATGTCGGGATGCATAGAGCGCCGTAAGAAACATTTTCTTAATTTCAGTGTCGTTGCTCCGCTCCGGGTGGGGGTGACTTTACTGGCATTGATCCGGACCAGTGACCTTGTATAAAGTTCACAAGTGGACCTTTAATAAAAAAGTTTGAGTACCCCTGGTCTAAAGCATTTATTATTTTCATTTTTCCCCTCTCATATTCAGTGTGGACGGATTGAGACAGCGTGGTGTCCAGAGAGCTGCAGAGACTTCAGGGAGAAACCTCCGTGTGATGGACGTCCTGTCTGTTGGTTTGGCCGGAGAGGACTGAGGGTCTTTCCTCTGTGAGGAGGACCAGGCCTGATGGAGGAGCCCATGCATAGCTGATACCACCTGATCAGGCCTAGTCTGTCACTTTATTTGACTAAATGTGTTTACTTATACATTTAATAGGTTTACACCTTCTGTCCATATGTGCTTTTTATTTAAAACATGTTTGATTAACATTTGGTTCACATTTCAATAAATTGAATTTATATTTGCACTCCTTTTGTCCATTATTCTTACTGAAAATGTTAGATTACACATTCACATCCGACTGAAGATTGGCCCCATTTATTTGCGTTGCAAACTCTGCGGTACAAGGTACATGTTGTGAAGCTCATAAAGTGAGGCAAATAGAAATAATCAGCTGATGGAGTGTAGATGTGGAAATAGGTGCATTCGATCAGCTGACTGTGTTTTCACAATAAAAATAGTTTCTTAGTGAATGTCCTGTACTGGTCTTAACATCTCATAACATCAGCTTTTAATTTTCCTATTGGATGTTTTTCTTGACCCTCGGAGAAAGAGGAGATGCTGAGTCGTGTCTTTCAGGCATGTCCTTTCCTAACAAAAATTACAGGAAACATAAAACATATTATTGCAGAACAAGTGTGTTATTTATGAAAGAGGTGTGTTTGTGTTTAGGGGCTGTAGATATAATTATTTTGTAATTGTAATGTTTTTTTTTATTTCAACAGTGAGCTACAAAGACAATCAGATTATGAATGAACAGTATGAAATTCATCAACATTGAAATGTATTTTATTATCAAAATAATATTTAACTGTTATTAAAACAAGCTTGCTCTGTTGTCTCACTGAAAGAATAACTTTTACCACGTTTTTACAGACAATATTGAGAGATAAATAGCAGTTGTCACTATGCGTTAAATATCTTTGCCTTCAATACCTTAAATTAGAAAGCTGACAGTCATATTGCTTGTTAACATCTAAATGTAACCCTTTGCATGGAAAAAACCCTCAACTTCACTGATGTGTAGGTGATCTAGTATTTAGTATTGTTTAATGGAATGTATAGCAGTGTGTTAAAGTCAATACTTCATTTATTTAAACCAATATCTTTCTTGATTCTTTGTACAGTATGAAAAAAGAGTATTTGTACCTGTGCTGAAGTTCACTGCTGTGAGGAGTCCAGTTCTGTCTCTCACTCTCTGGTCCAGCCTGTCGAATCACCTGGACACTTTAAACAAACAGATATATATGTAAAGAACCATGTGTACAAACAATATAACTTATTATCTTCTGTTGAACATGTTGGATTGTGTATTGTCCGAGTCAGGGTCCTTTTTATTTTACTGTAACTTTGGAAGTTGTGTTACCAATGCTTACTGTTTATTTTATACTAATTTGGTAATGCAATTAATAAAAACAACAAGGTTTGGGTTCGTTCTTCAGATGACTGTGATGTTAACGTGTAAGCTCAATAATGAACTCCAGCTCAACCAACCATATTGTAATATCTAAGTAATCATCTTGAAATATGACATTAATAATTGTAATATACACACATCTTATTGTGAGGTTGATTTCACATACACTACTTCGACGTTAGCTTGTCTACATACTTGAGCATAGCCAATTTAAATTAACCTTAGCGATGCATACAGTTCCTACCTACATAATAAAATATCTCTCTAAGTTACAAGGATGACCTTATTTTATCAACCTCAAACAGAAGCCTTTTGTTCTACAGTATTATCCCACTTAACGCTTAACACTTGTCTATTTCGTTTTAACCTTTATATATACAGTCTATGGTTTTAAGTTAACTTGGAGGCTAAGATTAGCATCGTTAGCACCGATGTAGCTACCACTCGCTTACACGCTAACCCAAGCCTTAACATTCATTACGTAGCTGATTGAAATCATAAACACATAAATAAAGTACTCGAATTTCACTTACCGCAAAACGGCATTCATGCACCGTCTGTTTTAACCGCAGAGCGAGTCACAATAGTCCGATATATAAGCATGAAGAACAAACAAACACGGCCGGGGTCAAGTTGTGTTCCCTGGATGAACTGAGCAGGCAAAGTCCCTGTAGCTTCACGGAGACGGAGCAGCTAGCAGAGAGACAAGAAGCTAACAGCAGCAGTCACTTGACAGAGCTGTCACTCAATGTGACCACGCCCTAATTTATGCAAAAACTTTAAGACCTAATATAAATAAAAGGGTCATGTTAGAAAACAATTCACTCACAGATTCATAATCATGAAGGTGGAATCTAACTATATACATAATAATATTTATTGCAGCCAGGGCTAGAAACGTTTTTTTTCTGCTGTGAAATTGGGCATTTTAACATGGGGGTCTATGGAAATTGCTCCTTTCTGCAGTCATCGCCTATCGGCCAATATATGAACTGCAGGTTGTGGCACTTCCGTATTGGCGTCCCGGCTCTTCCCCAGAGTTTGCCGCTTGGTTGACATAGACAGTAGTGACGGCCATCTTGGTGACGTGTGTTGTTGACCAGAGATGTAGTTCATTGAGCGTTTCACACAAACAAATGTGTTACTTCACAGGTTTACCACACATTTTTTTTTTTTGACTTGCAAAATTATCTTTTAAATTGACAAACATCATATGTGTAATTCGTGGCACAATTCAAACGGGATCGAAAGATAATCTTTCTCTCTCCATTGACTTCAATGCATAATTTTTCCGAAATAAGGTCCCATGGAGGTCCACCGGAAGGGGAGGGACTTCGCCACTCTATTTAGTAAGGTAAAAAGCAAAAAGCAAAAACGCCTCTCAGACGCTCTTCCGTTTACGTGTTTAATAAAGAAAAACAATTGGACGGTAGATACACGGATTCTAAATGAACATTGTTTAATGGATATAATATTTTGATTAAATAAAAATTATGTTTTATGTTTGTAATAAAATGCACTATTTAAACATTCTAACAAACCGATTAAAACAAATTACATGCGATCACTCCGTTATAGTGGCTTTGCTACTGAGTCCCTCACCTAAAAAAATAGACGATCTCTAAGACTGCGTGTGTGTGTGCGTGTGTGTGTGTGTGTGTGTGTGTGTGTGCGTGCGTGTGTGCGTGCGTGCGTGCGTGTGTGTGTGTGTGTGATATATCAGACGTCACTGCCTGCCGTTGGTCCAGTTCACTTCAGTTTAGATGAGCCGTTGGTTCCATAGGAGGAAAACTGGACTACACCCGGACCTAAAGGCAGTTTATCCCGGGACATCCCACCTCACTCTGTACCAGGACACTTCTTATGTTTACTTCCCCGAAATAAGGAGCAGCACACCGGGGCGGAGGGACGTGAACGTGACGTCCTGACGCCGGCTCCGCTCCGGCGCCTCACCTCCACGCTGTGTCCGGAGGTCCTCACCGGGGTAACTGAGCCATCCAGCGATCCGATTGGAGCCTGATCGTGGGGTAGAAAGTGTGTGATGATGGAGAAGAAGAGGACGGAGTGTCCTGCGCTGCCGCCTGGCTGGAGGAAAGAAGAAGTGATCAGGAAGTCCGGGCTGAGCGCCGGGAAGAGCGACGTCTACTACTACAGGTACCGTCACACTGTCACTGTCCTGCTGTTAGGGTCAGATGCTGAGGTCAGGGGTCCTCGGGGGGTACTGTGACTCCCTGTCAGGTCTGAAGGGTTCAGGCTCCGATTATAAAAAGGGCATATTTAACATAAAAACATTTATAACCACGAGAATTTACACCAAATGTAAATATGCAAAATGTACTAAAAAGGTAAGTACAATGAATATATGACACACTGCTGTATATTATATTTTAAAGTCAGGGGTGGGAAGTAACTAAGTAGATTTATTCAAGTAGGCTACTGTACTTAAGTAAAATGTTGAGATACTTATACTTTACTTAAAGGTCCCATGTCATGGCCATTTCTACTGATCATAATTCCATTGTTGAGGTCTACTAAAATACATTTATATTGTGCAATTTTCCAAACTCACACTGGTTTCTCATACAGCATCTCTGTATAGTATGTGTATTCACTCTCTGTCCTAAACGGTTTGTTGGAGCTCCTGCCCCCCCCCTCCCTGTGAGCCCAGTGGCCGTCTGCGAGACAGCGAGACACAGCGAAACCTAGCCCGAAACACACACACACACCCACAGCCTGGCTGGGAGTTTGTGTGTGTGCCCAGGCTGAGTTCCGCGGTGTCTCGCTGTCTCGCCGACCCCACACCAGTGAGCCAGCTCACAGTGTCCCGCTCCTCGCAGCAGCGAGCCTCGCAACGTCCCTCGAGTGTGTGTGTGAGGAAGTCCGCGGATTGGTCCAAACGTAACGGCTCCGCGTACGTTACGTTACGTCACTATACCCGAAATACGTCACTATACCCAAGAAGTAAACTATGGAAAAAGATAAATCCCCAACGAGGCGTTCTGGGGCAGCATAGACAGGTATTTTCTGTGTTACCCCTAGATTCCACCGGGTCCGTCTGTGGCGCGTTACGGCCGCGTTACGGCTGCGCCGCGGCGCTCACAGCGATTGCGGCCACTCTAGTCAATGTGTGCTATTTCACCACACGCGGCGCGTTACGGCTCAGAAGCGTCCCAGAAGCGTCTCGGCGCAGGGCTCCTCTAAAATTAGGATGAATCCTATTTTTGACGCGACGCAGCTGTAACGTAATGTCGGGCAGGCAGGAAGTGGAACGTTCAGAGCATATATAGCATATATATATATATATATATATATACACACACACAATCATTTTGCAGACCCTATCCCTCCGTAGTCTTTCAAGTAGGAGGACAAATGCCAGCGTTCTCCTCCGGTTTACAGGCACTGTGTAAATTATATATATAGAATAATTATGATGATGAATGCATTTTTTTAGCACTAAAATACAGCAACACATCTTTGATTCATGTCGTTTATAACTGGAATATTACAGTTATTATTAACTTTGTCTGTACAAAGTAGCCTGTCCAGGAAATATGCCCAAATCAACAAAAACTGCGAGCCGGCAGGCAAGACGCTCCGCTTCTGAAATGCTTCTGAAACGCGCCTGGTAGGGTATGACACCGTCAGTAACCTTTAATTACTTTACAGATGTGGATTAATGATGTGAAATATAATCAAGTGTTAAATCAGACTTTAGTTCCACCTGGAGTAAATGCACAAGCTACCCTGCAGTATACAAAGTCATTCAAACTAGCTGCACCTTTACCAGCTTTGAGAACACTTTCATGATCAATCATTATAAAACATATCATATATATTATTCTGAAATGGACAATCTGACAATGACTACTTTTACTTTTGGTACTTTAACTATATTTTGATGCTAATACTTTTGTACTTTTACTGGAGTAACATTTTGAATGCAGGACTTACTTGTAACAGAGTATTCCTGCTCTTTGGTACTTCTACTTTTACTTGAGTACTTCTACCACCTCTGCAGATTTTCTGACACAAATAGATTCATAGAAAGGTTCAAATATATTCAGAGAGAAGAACATGAACATGGCTCACAGTATTAAAACAAAAGTCAATATGTTTTTTACATGATGTGCATGAATATAATTCATAATGTTTGTGGGGTGGGTCAGTGTCAGAGGGGGTCCTCTCACACAACCTCTGTGCTGTCACACTGACAGCGAAAAATCCTCAGTTTATTTACAACAAACCTACAATTCCTTACATTTAAATAATAATTCAGCTATAGCTATAAGGCAGTTGAAAACATGTTTACTGTCGCAGAATGCTCCCTTCTGGGTCATAGTCAGGATTTAAACTACTGAACACTACTTTACCAAAAAGTGTTTCGATTTTACACGTTTGATTCAATAGTTCATTCAGACTGTCCGTTAATTCTATTTTCCATTATGAAGCATTAATTTCTTTATTTCCTTCAAAATTATGTGTTGTACAATGATGTGAGCTTAACTGGTTTGTCACTGGTTTCAGTGGTATCTGTTGGTTCTTCGTATGAATTTGACTCTGTCTGTGTGTGTGTGTGTGTGTCTGTCTGTCTGTCTGTCTGTCTGTCTGTCTGTGTATCTGTGTGTCTGCCTGTCCCCCCTCCCCCACAGCTGTTCCATCACATCTCTGAAACACACTTTTGGTAATGACCTCTGTTAAGTGTACTGTACTGTTTTCCCCGGGTGTTTCTGACTGTGGGTTAATGTGACTGGTATGTGTGACACCACACCTATGTCACGTCAGGTGTATTACTCAGTATGTCAGCTGTTTGTATGACTGGTTCTTGAGAAAGCAGGCAGAGCAACACATTTTTTCTTATTTTATATGATCACTATCTACTGCTGCATAAGATTGCAGAGGAAATAGTTTCAGTCGTGGTGAAGCTGTGACGCCTCAGAGCTGTCGGCTGCTCACTTCCTGTTGATCAGCGGCGGAGGTATGACTGGATCAGATTAACAGCTCAGAAACACCCGGAAACTTCAACATGAAGGAGATCAGCAGGTCCGCTTTACTTTCAGTTTACAGTAATGTGACTCATCATTACCAAGAAACCAGTCAGTAGATTTACTTAATGGAAGAGCAGTGACACCCTGCCAGGCCTCAGCGCTCCATGTTACTAACTAATGCTGTTTATCAGGAACTCTATTCAGTCCAGCACTTTAGTTTCAGTTCTGTGTGACAACTACAACACTTAAACATTACATTTAAATGTCATTTACTCAGAGTAAGTACTTTATAGCTCCAGTTAAGAGCTGGAGAAATATAAACCCACACACTTCTTCAGAGTGCTGTTTGAGGCTAAAGGCATGTTATTTTAGGGTTTGGCTAGAATTAGACCTATGTTAATACATTATGTCAATGAGGGCCCTCACAAGTATTGAGTGTGTTTGAATTGAATGTGTGTGTGTAAGTGTGGAGCAGTGAATGAGGAAGTGTTTCACAGTTCCTGCTGGTGCCAGATGTGACGTCACAGCAGACTGATTCTGTGTTCTCAAAACAGTACGGCAAGTTTTAACATGTGTTCTTGGAAGTTCAAAGTTGGCAAGTGGAGTCATTTCTGGGTAGGGGTGAACTAAAAGGAATACTTTGGCACCAAGTTAATGCCAGAATTCGGAAAACATAATGATGCTTGTTTTTTTAACTATACCCAGGTACTGTAGGTACCTTAGGTATACAGTATAGCAGTGTTGTAGTCAAGTCACCAATTCATGAGTCCAAGTCACTCTCAAGTCCCCACTTTTCGACTCCAAGTCCGAGTCACCTAGGGACAGTTGGAGTCGAGTCCAAGTCTGAGTCACCCAAGGAGAGTCCGAGTCCGAGTCATCATTACCTGTGTTCGAGTCTGAGTCCAAGTCCGAGTCACCCAAGAAGAGTCCAAGTCAAGTCTGAGTCACAAGTCTTCATGTATTAATCTTAGTGGATATATTTGTTGAAATGTAGCTGCTCCTCTACATTGCTTTTATCCTGTCATTTTATACTAATGTGTCTATTGAACTGCTGTGAAGCGAGTTTGGCTAAAATTCTTGTAATAGGTGCTATACAAATATAAAGCTTATTACTAATATTATTAGGGCCCGAGCAGGGAGCGCTAGGACCCAACGGCGTCCTAGCACGAAGTGCGAGGAACCTATTGTTTTCCTATGTATTCCTATTATTTTTTTTCTGCTGGCGTTTCCTGTTTTTGAGGCCTTTAGGACGCTTACAAAGTTGTATCATTTTGCACGGACGCCAGGACTGGTGAAAACTACAATATTCTGGAGTCAATGGGTTAAATATTCCAACCTACTCACTAGCGCCACCTATCAAAATCCCATTTCGGAATAAATTTACAAAGTCGCACCGTAAATCTGAATGACCTGAAATGTTGCACACATATCCGGGTGGACCTGCTCTACAAATAATCCTCTTGGAACCCTAAACTCCGCCTACATTTTCTTTAATTTAAATTAGCATAACGTTCAAAACAGTTAAATATTCACTTACATTTCAATTTTCAGTTTTTCAACACCAAACTTCGTATACAGCATCGGTGGAGGGTCAGACACCTTACCGTAGAAAATGAGCATGTTAGGACGATAAATATTGCCGCTGTCAATCAAAACGTACTCGCAAAAAGGCGGGGCTTAGAAAGAAATGCTCATAACTCATCAACAATGTATCCATATATCACAGATTTTGGTGGATAGGTTCAGTCTGTCTTGGGGAATAGGCACACCAAAGCATTTTCATTTTGGACTATAGGGGGCGCCAAAAACACCACCAACTTATAACTCAAGAACGGATGGACGAATTATTATAATTTTTTTTTACACATACTCTGGGGGTGACTACAAACTCAGATCTAAAGTGTGGCAACAAATTCAGAATGTGGGCGTGGCCTATAATCTTTTTTTTAATTGCGATAGCATAAAATGAGCTTCGGACGCAAAACTTGGGACACACGTCAGAGCCCACGACCTTTTCGAGAATGTAAAAAAAAAACGTAATTTTTCCAAAAAAACGCTCACTAGCGTTTGTGTGGTAGTCGCATATAGTTTCTCAGAACTTCACGAATTTTGGCACAGACATTCCTCATGGAATTGCGGACATATTTGTAAATAGAATCCATTAGC